GGCCAGGAAGATTATGACCTCCTGATAACATTTTCTGGGTAGTGAGGACTACCTAGGATGGACTTTTCTATCAACTGTCTCTATACCTATTGATGAACCCAAAGATCTTTTAGTTTTCAACCTAAAGGAAAGCAGTAATGCCAGTGGCCTCAAAGGCACAAGCTAATGGATCAGAAGTACACAGACTAAGGCAGACTGCCTTAGGACATGCAGGATGCTGTAACAAATCACCATTGATTGGGAGCTGGGCGGCTTATAAATTGCTGAAATGTATTTCTCTCTCCGTCCTGGAGGCTGGCAAGTCCAAGATCAAGGTGCCAGCATGGTTGGGTTCTGGTGAGGCCTCTTCTCCCAGGGTGATTCCCAGCTTCTCTCTGTGTCTTCCCATCGCAGAAGGGCTGAGCCCGCTTTCTAGGGTTCTTTTGTAAAAACATGAATCCTATGGTCAAGGGCTGTGTCTTCATGACCCCACTCCCAAAGGCCTAATCATCTTGGGGGTAAGGTTTTCAACATATTAATGTTGAGGGGACACAAACAATCAGACCATAATGCAGATGGGTTAAGTGTAAGAATTTTCCCTCATTGAAGATATTGTGGTTTTTCTGATAGGAAAAGGACACAGTGACGTGGCCCACTTTGCTTAAGAGCAAGGGCCAAATATTTTGAATCACATTTATTGTTAACAGGAAGAAAAAAATAACTAACATGTCATATTGCTGATTGCCCCTAGAATTCCAAGTGACAATTTTCCCAAAGGACTTCCTACAATAGCCTGGTGTGGTGGCCCATACCTGTCTCCCAGTGGCTCAGGAGGCTGAGGCAGGAAGGATCAAGGTTCAAAGCCAGCCTCAGCAACTTATTGAGGACCTAAGCAACTCAGTGAGACCATGTCTGTAAATAAAATATGAAAAAGGCTGGGCATGTGGCTCAGGGGTTGAGCACTCCTGGTTCTATCCCTGGTACCAAAACAAACACGCAAACAAACCCCAATACTCCCTACAAAAGGAGATAATGAAGGTAAAAGCTGTAAAAGTTGAAATCATTAAAATCACAATGGAAATTTGATACAATTGTATAATTAAAACTTGACTCAAGGACAAGTTCAAAAATATAGATTCCCTTCTGGGGTTTGTATAAGGAAAGAAGAGAAAACACAATCTATACAAAATGAATGATCAGAAAGAATGATATAAGCACAGAGTAAGGGAAAATTTAAGGAATTAGAAGAGCATGATGGAAATCTATGGCAGCAAAATCAAAATACCAGTAAGAGTGTAAGTTGTGGGTCTTATGTGATAATCTGCCCCCAAACCTGTCACTTCCTAGCTGTGTACTTCCCAGTCCAGGGCGACTTCTACAAAGGGTTTCACTCTGTTTCCCTCAGAATTCAGAATTTGCTTACTCCTGCATGGGTCCCATTCTAATGGCTCTGTCAGTTTTACAGGAAAGAATTTCAGCTTGGAAACCAAATGGCCACCGTGGACGTAAACATCAGAATTGATTTTGAAACTGATTATAATGAGCTGGTTTTAGATGTAGGAAAAGTCACTCTTGGAGAGAAGAATAGGAACAGTATGAAGGACAAACAAAGGAGAAAAAGGCAGAAAGAGGCTGTCTCATGAGCCATGTGTGCTTTGCTGAATTCTGGAGGAGGAGTTATCAAGGCTGAAATCGAGAATACAGAGTATAAGTATAATGAAGATGGAATAGGAGAAGATTTGGAAATATCTTTCAGCGATATGCTGCCTCGTGTTCTAAATTACCTTGACTTCATGCAGAATGCTAACACATTTTTGATTTTTGTGAAATCATGGAGCTTGGATAGCTCTGGTCAGCAGATTGTCACATTGAGAACCAATCTGTATAGCAAAAATATAACATCTACAATTGTCATGGATGGTACCCATGCACTGGCTTTCCTCCAAGAGAAGAAAACTGGATCCAGATTATTTTCAACACCAAAAACGAATGCAATGAAGGTCCCTACTGATGTTCATGAAGAAAGTAGTGTGGTGGACTCACCTTCAGAGTTTTTTAGCAAGACAAAACTTACATACAGAAGTAAAGTCAACTTTTATGAATCAACACTTGTTGCTACTAAATTAGTCCCAGATTACGATGTGTTTGGAAAAAAAGAAAAAGAGAAGATGTGTTGGAATTCATTAAAGAAGAGGTACCTCAGTATGTTTCTGCATTTGCAAATACTGATGGGGGATATTTGTTCTTTGGTATAGATAGCCAAACAAAAGAAGTAATTGGCTTTGAGTACAGCCTTGGTGTCTTTCTGAGATAGAAAAGACAATTAGGGAGCTTCCTGTCCATCATTTCTGTAAAGAGAAGAAGACAAAATTACTCATGCAAACTCATTGAAGTCCATGATGAAGAAAGACATCGTGGCTACGTCTGTGCACTCCAAGTAGACAGATTTTGCTGTGCCGTATTTGTTGAGGAGCCTGATTCTTGGCATGTGAAAGGGAACCAAGTGATGCGGTTTACCACGGAGGAATGGATCAAGTGCATGGTGAGGCAGGTTACGGAAGGGGGATTAGCAATGAGCATACATTTGGCCGGGGTGGTTGGGAAGGTGTGACTGGAGCAAGATCAGTATTCCTGAGATGTCAATGCTCAATTTAACAGTCTCTAGTGGGAAGGGTCTTCTTAATTCCCACTTGAATTGCTTATTAAGCTCTGATTACAGCACTTGGGGCTCTTTATGAGACTTCTACTAGGCCCCACCTTTAGATGGCTTCACCAACTCCCAATAGCACTTACTCTGGGAAGTAATCCTTTAACACAGGAATCTTTGGGTAACAGTTCAGTACCAAACCATGATATTCTACTATAGCCACCTGAAAGGTTCATGTCCATCTTAACAAAGCAAAATGCACCCACATTTTGTACACAAATTCCAAAGAGTCCCAACGTTTTGACAGCTTTGGCATTGCTCAATAGTGTGAGTTGTGTATGCTGAGACTCAAGGCAGTTCAGCTTTAGGATGCTATAAAAATTAAGTTATAACAGTATGTTACTTCTGATTTGAAATAGTAAGTAGGAACAAGGTAAACATTCCCAGTTCAAAGGGGAGGAACAGGAAAATATCAAGGAGGTTTCAGACCAAAGCAAGACTGCAACCCAGCAGGGCATACACTAAATCCTACAGCTCCATGTTTGGCATCTGGGCACACTGCCCCTCTGACTGTGCTGGTTGCAGGCTACCTGCTCACTCTCTTGGGGTGGTATTGTATGCTGGGTGCTGCTTCTTTTGTCAGACATTGGTCAGTGCTGGTATCTCTTCCTCCTTGGGATCTACACTGCAGCCATGCCTTCACAATTCCCAGAGAAAGAGTTCCTTAGGCTGTCCTGGGTCACAGGGTGCCCTGGGACTGTTTTCTCAGTCAGTCATAGAGATGTCACCTTCCTGGTAGTTTATTCTATTTTCTTTGTATTTGTTGATGTGACTGTTCAAAACCCCCTTGCAGAAACCAGCTCTGTCTTGATGTGTGTCATCGAAACACATTCTGTGTTTATCAAAATACTTTGATGTTTTTGCCATTAATTCTGTCAAATTCGTAATCCTCAGAATTTGAGTAGACTTTTATTGATGAAATAGGCGCTCCTGTACATGAAAGTAAGAGCAAACTAATTCAGTTTAGTTGAAGCAAATTATGTTGTCTATATATGTCCCTGGGTAGCCTAGCTTGAGATGTAGCTCCCAATGTGGCTGTATTCAGTCACTGAAAAATCACAACAGTCCCCTACATCTCTCATTACCTTTTTTTGTTGTTGATGATGGGTAACTGACTTATTTCCTGGGTTCTGCCTTAAAAACAGTGTCATCTTGAATATTCATGTGTAGTCTGGGGCATGGGTGAAAGTTTCTCTTGGGAGCACACTTAGTAGTGGAATTGCTGGTTCAGGAGGTGTGAGAATATTCAAGTAATAGGAAAATGCTGATACTTTTTTCAGATTAGACAGGTCATTTTACTCCCATCAGGAATATATTAGAAATTCCACATTTCCTCCAATTGTCAGACTTCTCTTTGTTTTTCTGTCTCTCTTCTCGTCTTTGTCTGTTCCATCAAATGGGTACAAGATAGTATTTTGTGGCATTAGCTTTCCTGTTTATTAATTTGGTTGATCATATCTTAATGTATTTATTGGTTCAAAGTACTTTACCTTTTATGCAGTGCCTGTTCTGTCTTTTGTCTATATTCCAATTAGACTTTGTCATTTTCTTTTTGCTTTGTTAGAATACCTTACAGACTGTAGAATCAATCACCATGTCGTCACAGGTGTTACAGATTGTGGATATCTTCTCCAAGTTTCTGCTTGGCATTTTCTCTTTTCTTAAGGCCTATTCTGATAAGTAGTAGTTTGAAATTTTAAGAGAGTCAAACTTACCAGTTAAAAATTTGAAGTTTGGTGCTCTTTGTGCCTTATGTGAGAGATGCTCCTCTACTCTAAGGTACTATAATGTTTCCTTTCATTGTTTTCTGGACACTTTAGTTTTGCTCTGAGCCTTTTAATTTTAAATATTTAATTCATTTCAGTAGACACTGACTCGGAGTGTTATTTCCTCTTGTTCCATGTGAAGAGCCATTTTCCCACCCTCACCACTGATCTGCCCAACCGTCTCCAGTGTATTTCTGCATACATCTATGGGTAGCTGTGGTTGTAGAATTTCTTTTATGTTTGGTCAGTGTGTTTTTTCCTACAGAATTGTGATGTTAAACTGAATATAAATATCGGAAAGAGTAAGTCTTCTTTTTCTCTTTCTTTGAAAATATATGGACAGTTTCAGTCCTTTAACCTTTCATAAATTTTAGAATCTACTTGAGCACCTTAGAAATGCCTTTCTGGATGTTTATTGCAGTTACATTAAATATATAGATAAATTTAGGAATGAATGACACATTTCTATCAACCGGTCTTTTTATCCTTGAACATAGGAAATCTGTTCATGTATTTCTATCTTTTTAAAAAAATTTATTGTACATGCTTTATCAAAACGATACTTGTATTTACAGTTTCTGCAAAAAGAGTCCCTTGCAAGTTACCCTCACACACCCAGACACACCCACACAGACATCCACACCATGACCCTGCTCCCACACTAGTGAGATGTGAGGGTCAGACTCCTGAAATTAGGTCGCTGTTGGGGGATAAGAGTTGTTGATTTGTTTTTTTGTTTTTTGTTTTGGAAAGAGTAAAGCATGGGAAGAATGTATTTGGCCATGACATTGCTAACTAAGTTCGGGTATATTAACATATATGTCAGTTAACACTGACTATTCCTTTTGCATTCTATATACACAGAATGACATCAAGGTTTTGTGATCAACAGAATATTCCAACTTCAGTCTCAATGCTGCTTGTAGTGACTTCTGAATTCATGTGAAGGCTTACCCTAATAATAATTCAAGTCTATGGACATGAAATAAGGCACAATAAATATTGATTTGACCTAGAGGAAGGAAGGAAAGGAGTCAAACTGGTTTCAAATGATCTCAATTGGGAAACTGCTTTGACTTGAACTCACTTAAATCCATTCTAAGTTCCTAAGATTTCTTAGAAATGTTTTTTTTTTCTTTTCCCTGACAGAGCCCCCAAAAGAAAAGTTTGGGAATTCACATTTCCATGTTTCAGTAGCCTAAACTACTCAACTCATGTGTAACAACCTCCTCCCCTGCTCAGGTCTCCTCCTTCCTCAGTGCTCAAAAACACCGAGTAGCAAATACACATCTGGTTGTCTTTGATATCTTAAAAAAGGGGGAGGGGAAGGAAGGGAGAGTAGGAAAGAAGGGAAGATGAGAAGAAGGGAGGAAGGGAGGAAGGGGGGAAGAGAGGAAGATAAAAGAGAAAGGGAAAAAGCTAAAAGTAACCTCATGACTTTCTTGCAGTTTAAGAAATCCCTGTTTCCTCCTTTTCAGGACGATGAAGCCACCCCAGACATTACAAACAACTGCAACAAATGAGTCTGGCAGCATAAAAAATGTCTAGTGTTCAAGTCTTCATAGTGAGACCCATACATCTTGTACACAATATGTCGAATGTTTGTTGCAGCAGGTGAATCAAACCCAAAGACACTGGACAGTCTGTGAAAGGGAGCAAGAATTGCAGTTCTGAAGGCCCCTGACTTTGGTTGTTTACAGAGTTCAATCCTGTTTATTGTGCTCCTTGGTACCTTCTTCATCTGCATATCCTAAAGGTTCTTCCCCTGGTTTTAGGAATCTGCCTACATATTCATATTCTTCTTTAAACTGCATTTCCCATTCTCGAACACTCTCCATTTGCGCTGCATTCAAGTCTGAGAGATCATATATTCATCTCTAAGTGCATCCTTATCTAGGCAATATGTTGCCAGTCTTCTGGAGGCATCCCTACCAGCAAATATTCCATATGCACCCGCGGGGCCCTACAACTTGCAGCATTTGGTCACAGCGAAGACTTTCCCATTGACCTCAAGCAGGAGGCGCAGCTTGTGCAACTCGACCGACCTACTGGTGAAGCTACTTGAGGCTGAAGTCCCACATCTCCATGCGCTGCAGGGAGTGGGCCAGGCTCTCCTTCCCCGCCCTGGCCCCTCCTCCCGCCCCATTCTTGAACACTCAGGGTCACTTGGCCACTGAGCCACATCCCCAGCCCTATTTTGTATTTTATTTAGAGTCAGGGTCTCACTGAGTTGCTAAGCAACTTGCCTTTGCTGAGGCTGGCTTTGAACTGGTGATCCTCCTGCCTCAGCCTCTGGAATCACTGGGATTACAGGCGTGGGCCGTTGTGCCCAGTGGTATTTGTTCTTTTTAAAATATTTCTTGCTGAGCTTCTTGTGTTTGTGACTGGTGTCCTTCGTCAATTTCAAGAAAATCATTGCTGTTTATCTCTTCAGATCATGCTTTTGTCTTTTTCTCTCCTCTTGTGACTTACGTTGTGTTAGACCTTTGGAGTACCTCTGACATGGCTCCTGTGTTCTGATTTTCCATTCTTTTTCTTTGTGTGGGTTGGAAGTGTTTGCTACCTTGTATCATGACAGTTAATCTTGGTTTCTGCTGTTGGTCTGCTATCACATGTAGTAACAAGGCCCTTAATATCAGATACTGCCTTTTAGAGTGATAGGATGTTGACATGACTTTTATCTATTGATTTCAAATTTATGAGTCTGTAAGAGAATCAGGAAATTTTTGTCTTTTCATTTCTTCTTCATTTGGGGGTATATTTTAATTACAGTTGGCACTCAGCAGTCTTTTCCTTTTCTCGTGGTTGCTTTATTGTTTGTTTTGTTTTTTTTTTTTTTTTCAAATTGTCCGACTTTATCATGTTTCCTAATTTCCTATTATATCAGGGATTATGAATTAGGGAAACTTTGAAAGATGTTCTAGGGCTGGGGATGTGGCTCAAGCGGTAACACGCTCGCCTGGCATGCGTGCGGCCCAGGTTTGATCCTCAGCACCACATACAAACAAAGATATTGTGTCCGCCAAAAAACTAAAAAATAAATATTAAAAAAAATTCTCTCTGTCTCTCACCTCTCTCTTTAAAAAAAAAAAAAGAAAGATGTTCTATCCTTTCATATAGGGTTGTCCTTTCTTCTGGCAGGAAGATGGGCATCAGTGATTGTCTTGCTCTAATTGAAGTTTAGTTTTATGCTTTTCTAGCTAAGATTTTGCTCTTACTACTAGCTGAGGCTGTTCTGCAGTCTAAGCTGAAGTCAGGGTGTTCACCCAGGGCCTCCTCTTTGCTGGGACTTTAATTCTTGCCTGTGTCTGCTCAGCTCAGGAGGTTGGTGAAATTTTAGTCCAGTTCCTCAGGCTCCCGGTTTCTGCTTTCTCTGGGTTCCCAGCCTCTCATCCTGGATCAGTGAGTTGAGGGGAATTTGTAAGTTGACTTAGGCTCCTCCTCTGCAGTTTCATCCTTTCTGAGGTTTTCTTCTCAGATTCTAGCCCCTCTAGGATTTGGACCCCTTCCTTTCTCCTCATGTCAGTGGCCTGTTGACAGCTATCGGGGCTCTAGTGACCCATGCTACGGCCCAGAAAATATCTGAGGGAGAAGCAGGCTGGAGAGTGCAGCGGCTTCCTGTGCTCCTATCACACGTGTTGGCCTTGTCGTCCTGCTTGTCCCACTGGCCCTCCAGTTCTGGACGCCACAGTTGGCTCTATTTTGTACAGGCTTCGTAGCTGTTTCGGGTGGGAGGGTTGGTGCTACAGTAGACACAGTTTCCATGGCACGTTCCCAGGGTTTTCTTCTTTATATTTTGTTATCATTATTTCCATATCTAGTGCTTACAGAAAAAGATGAGATCTATTCCAGAAAGCCTCTGCCGGGAACTCTTCTTCAAGAGGAAGCACTTGAACAATGAACAGAATGACATGGACTTGGATGAGCACTCTCCGCTGGTCTTCTCTAATAGCTGGTCTTTGGATCTGCACCTGCCAAAGAATGAGGAAGTCACCTTTGATGTGCTTCTGATTTCCCAGGAAAATCCACTAGTCCTGGACACTTTCCACAGGGTAGTTGAGAATTTAGAAGATGATTCCCCTCTTTCTCAGGGAACTAGATATAAGCTTAAAGGCTATTCTTCCCAAACTGCCCAAACTTTAAAGCAGAACTGGCAAAACTTGGTGGTTTCCCTAAGAAACTTACAATCATGAGGAAGATATTCTTCTTGAATCTTTTTTTTTTTCAATTACTTTTAGTTATATATAGCAATATAATATATTTTGGCAGAATATATATACATAGAATGTACCTTATTCTATTTAGGTTCCCACTCTTGTGGTTGTACATAATGTAGAGTTACCCTAGCCATGTATCCAAATACCAGGTTAGGTAAGTTATGGCCAATTAATTTTACTGTCTTTCCTATTCCCCCATTCCCTTTCCTTCATTTCCATTTATCTAATCCAATGAACTTTATTCTTTTCCTCCCCACCCTCCCTTGTTGTGATTCAGCATCCACAAATCAGAGAGAGCATTCGGACATTGGTTTTTTGGGATTGGCTTATTTCACTTATTGGCTTATTTCACATAATATTTTCTAGTTCCTTCCATTTAACAGCAAATGCCATTATTTCATCCTTCTTTAAGGCTGAGTAATATTCCACTGTGTATATGTCCTACATTTTCTTTTTCTATTCATCTGTTGAAGGACACCTCAGTTGTTTCCATAGCTTGGCTATTGTGAATTGAGCTGCTATAAACATGGATGTGGCTTAGTCACTGTAGTATGTTTTTAAGTCCCTTGGGTATAGACTGAGGAGGAGTGGGATAACAAGGTCAAATAGTGGTTCTATTCCGAGTTTTCTGAGGAATCTCCATACTGCTTTCCATAGTGGTTGCATCATACCTTTCTCTCCACATCCTTGCCAACATCTATTGTTACTTGTATTCTTGATAATTGCCATTATGACTGGAGTGAGATGAAATCTCAGTGTAGTTTTGATTCACACTTATCTAATTGCTAGAGATGTTGAATATTTTTTTCTTATGTTTGTTGACCAGTTGTATTTCTTTTTCTGTGAAGTGTTTAGTTCCTTTGCCCATTTATTGATTGGATTATTTCCCCCCTGGTGTTATCTGTGTGAGTCTTGATGCCAAAACAATCTCCTTTATGATTCAAGATTGAAACTGTCGTACCTGCATCCTACTGGCTTACAATCTTTGAAGCCACAAGGGACCAGGTGAAGCCCTCTATGTAGTCTGAAGGAGATTGACTGTCTGAGGGAGCAGCATGCCCTTGGGATTTTCAAATGTCTACCAGATAATCAATATAGATTGTTTTTATTAAAATGCCATACAGATGTTAAAAACTTGGTGTTTTAGTCAACTTTTGTGTCACTGTGATAAAATTACCCAACAAGAGCAACTTAAAAGAGGAGAAGTTTATTTGGGGCTCAGGGTTTTGGAGGTCTCAGTCCATAGACATCTGACCCCATTACTCTGGGCCCAAGATGAGGTAGCATATCATGGGAGAATGTCTCAGAAGAGTGAAGCTGTTCAGCTTATGACAGATTCAGGAAGCAGAGAGAGAGATAGAGGAGAGGGCAAGGGAATGTGGGGAAGATGCACCCTTCCAAGTCAGGTACCCATTTACCAACTTCCTTCAGCCACCGACTGTCACCTCCCAGTGTCATTCACATGAGGAGGGACTGGTTAGGCCACAGCTCTCCCTGATCAATCACTTTACTTCTGAGTATTACTGCACTGGCACAAAAACTTTTGTGGGATACATCACATCCAAACCATAACATTCTGTACCTGACCCCCAACGCTCATGTCCATCTCACAGTGCAAAATTCATTTAATTTTTTTCCAAGAGTTTCCCTTTCTTAACATTGTAAGAATTACCCCAAAGTCCAAGTCCAAAGTCTCAACTGAAAACTCTTGGTTGTGAGGCCCTGTAAAATCAAAAGCAAGTCACAATCTCTAATATACAATGGCACAGAATAAACACTGTGACTCCAAAGGGGAGAAATAGGCACAGAGAAATAAGGGGCCAAAGAAAGACCAAAATCCAGCTGAGTTCCTGGAACTCCATCCCTGATGGCTCATCTAAGATACAAGGCTGTGCCATGTGCTCTCCCAAGGGTTTGGGCAGCCCTCCTTCTTTGGTCTTCATGTTGCTCTCTCAGTCTCTCACAATCCAATCACTTTACCCCGAACATTCCTGAATCAAGACAGGAGGTTTTGTGGGAAACCTTACATACAAACTATAACACTTGACAAAGCCTTACCTGGATAATGGAAGGTGGACTGGGCTACAAAGATATTTTTCATTATAAAGATGATGCTGTTCTCTAATTTTCAAAAATGTTTCTTTGAGATGCTGCAGATTAAGCAGCTTCACCTGATGTTGGAGAACTTCAATTTAGCTTCTGTTCACTTCTTCCTGAATAGTCTTTACATACGTTGCTTAAGAGCAATTAGAAAGATTAATTAGTTACCTATTCTGTGCACAAATTTTATTTACTCTTTTCTTGTTCATGGATAGACATTCTTTCATTTTAAAATCAAGACAGTTTGCTG